TATGTACCTCTTCTTTTTTGCCCCTTCCAGCTTTATTCAGTTCTTATTATTTCCTGGTTTCCTTTCCACAAATTCTTTCGCTTGCTGCTGCTGTCATAACTTTCACAGCTGTCACCTCTCACCTGGCTCTACAGCTTTGATCTCTTATACGTGCTCCCTTCCGCCGCTTCACTCATTAAAGCCTAGGGGAATACTTTCATCAGATTCAGACCACCATTATTCCGCTCATTAATCGCTTACTCTGTCCAGCCATCAGATCATCTAGGCAACCTCCTGGTCCACTCGGATCCTGGTTTTTCCTGCCGATCGCTGCCAGCCGCCGCTTACAAATAGTCCGCTGGATGCCCCACTCCTTCAGCCATCCCTTCGGGACTTCCATCAGCTCCGGTGAGCTCTGCAGACACAGGAAAAGCAGCTTGCAAAGCGGAGGTCACTCGCACCACCGGTCTCTGACAGCTGGCCCTGCCGCCCCCAAATACTGAAGTACTGGAGATGGGAAGGTTTATATTGATCTCCAGTAAATGTGTCTTAAGGGTCATTGTGATCCCAGATCAATAGCATCTCCCTTGACAGTATCTCCTATCATGGCTTGTTTCTCTCGTGAAGAACATAACAAATTCTTAATAAAGGTTTCGTGTATCCCATTTACTATTACGAGACATTGGAGCAGGGATGTCAAACTCGATTTCATTGAGGACCGCATCAGGGTTGTGTTGGGGGCGTGGCCAGGGTGGGTGGGTGTGGCCGGTGTGGCCAGCTCAGCGTCACTTGTCAAGGCTCCATTTTCAGTCACAACAGCCTCCTGTAGTCCTCTGCCAGCAAAAACGGAACTCCCCGAGCTCCATTTTCACTGGCAGAGGCACTGCGGGTGGGTCCTTTGCTGTTTCCAAGGCAGCCTCGAGAGCCAGATTTAAACACTCTGGCCCATGGGCCTTGAGTTTGACACCCCTGCATTAGAGGGGGGGAAATGTGATTTGGGAATGAAACAAAGGTTGGTTGGGACTTGAGGTAAACAATTTTTATCACATTACACAAGACGCAGTTCAATAAAGTGAGGCATAAGTCTTGCCATCACTAGCACAAAACAAGTCATGAGCAATTATTTTCCTCCCCCCAGCAACAGCAGGTGGGTGTTCACAAGTTAAATGAGCATGGAGTGACTAGTGTAATAGGAATCTAAATATAGGCCAATGTATTTATATTTCATACATGCGCACAAGTCCACATATAGACTGGGTGAAACCTGGCTCCACAGCAGTAACTGTGAGAGGGAGCCTGGAACCTTAGTGGACAACCATTAAGCACAACCACTATGAGCCAGCAGTGTGCAGCAGCCAAAAAAGCTAATGCAACCCTAAGTTGCATGAACAGAGGGATACAATCCAGATCAAGTGAGGTACTAATGCCACTCTATAAAGCCTTAGTAAGACCACACCTAGAGTACTGCATCCAGTTTTGTTCACATTATAAAAAAAAGGTTGACACTCTAGAAAAAGTACAAAGAGAAACCAGGATGATTAGGGGACTGAAGACTCATTTTGTAGATATAATAAGAAAGAAGTACATCTTTATATATTTATTATTTTCTAAAAGTCTACATATTTCATTATGGTACTTTATTGTCTAACCATTGATAGAAAAGATCCCAAATTTTATAAAATTGTTTATCCTCTTGTTCTCTAATTTCAAATGTCAATCTACTCATTTCAGCACATTCCAATATTTTCTTAATAATTTCCTCCTGTGATGATCATATATAGAAAATCCTACAATGAGAAAACAAAACATTACTTTGACATTCCTGTTTAAAATCGCCACTTAATCACTTCTGTCAAAAACTTTTACAGATTCTTTCTTTTCCTTAGGGCGTCCTTTCAGATCTTAGAATTAAAAAAAAAAGTTCTCACCAAACCGGCACACTCTCTCTTTCTGCTATCTTCCATTTCGGAGCTATCCCAACTTCAGCAGCTTTAATGGCTACCTCTTTGCCACTGGCAAGAAGAGCTTCTCCTGGATCTACCAGGGACTTTGCGGTCTCCCTGGGATCGACAGGATGCGCTCTTCACTTTCACCGTCTCTTCGGGACGGTTTAGATCCGATAGGACCGTCCAGGAGCAAAGATATCGGCAGCGATCTCAGACCTCCAAGATCGCATGCCGTATCGTCGTGATGCCAGCTCCACCCTCTGGGTCAAGCTATTTTCTAAAGCACCTGTAGGCCAGACAAGGAATAATGGATGGAAACTGAACAAGGAGAGATTTAACCTGGACATAAGGAGAAACTTTCTGACAGTGAGAACAATCAACCAATGAAACAGCTTGCCCTTGGAAGTTGTGGGAGCACCATCACTTGAGACTTTCAAAAAGAGATTGGACTGCCATCAGTCAGAAATGGTGTAGGGTCTCCCGCTTGGGCGGGGGTTGGACTAGATGACCTATAAGGTCTCTTCCAACTCTTGATTATCTGTTAATCCTATAACACAGATGCAAATAAGTCTTCCTTCCTAGTTACTTATTCCCAATGGTGTTGGATTAAATCTTACAAATGGATCAAGTTTAATAATCTTCAGGATACATGGAATAGGCTTTTGTGTGTGCTTAAAGTTTGATAATTAAAAAATGATCAACTACACGGCAGTGGAAAGAATGTTATGGCACAGGCTTCCCCTCCACCACCGTTTTGTTGTTTTTGAGTCAATTTGACTCTGGTGACTACCCTGACTATTGTCACATTTTTCTCGGGAAAATTGCCGTGTGTCTAAGGCAGAATGAAAATTTGGTATTCTGATTTCTGGTCTGGTGCCTTTAATCATTAAACTAAACTGCCTCTCAGAATAATTGTTCATTCTAGAAATCAACTAGATGATCAGCCAGGCTTTTCTAAAGTCAGCAATAGTTGCATCATTAGTTCCCAATCCTTCCAGGGTTCAGATGTGTAATCCATTCTTAAATGCTCTCATGTGATAATGAATGAAGATGTGATTAGTACTAGCTAATACTGATTGTTAGGACTTACCAAATGCGATAACAAATGTAAAGAATTATGTGTTATCCACATATTGTTTCTGTATTTTTGAATTTGTATATTTTTAAATTTGTAAATAAAATTGTTTTTAAATTTTTTTTAAAATGCTCTCATTTTTCTATAACCAATACTATTCAGTGTTTGATTTATTACATTTACAAATAGTACATGTTGTTATTTATCCCATAACTTGAGACAGTAAACACTCTGAATACTCCAGCCTTCTATTTTCCCCACAATAGCCCTGTGAAATGAGTTGGACTGAAAAGTGACTGGCTAAAAGTCATCCAGCTTTCATGCCGAAGGAAGGCCTAGAACTTGGTCTCTTGGTTTCTAGGCCAGTACCTCAACCACTCCACTAAACTGGCTCTTTCTATAATATAGATATGCACATATTTTTTGGGAGGAGGGCAATACTAATAAAATGCTTGAACAATTCCTACAGACTTTTGCCCACACCCGTTTACATAAAACAAACATGTGAAATTAAAACATGTCAAACATCATTTTTTCTCTAATTATTTTATTTTGACACAAAAATATAAGCCAAAAGATCCACACAATGAAAAAATACATAAAGTATTAATTTTCTAAACAGAAATTAAACTGGAAATGGAATATTTGTCTGCTAAAAAATTTGCATGTTCCTTGAATTAAGTGTTGCTTAGATGGATTCTCCTGAATTCTTGTCCTTCAATAGTAACTATCCTTAAGAGATTAACTACTTTCTCCATAGGCACATGGACAAAAAGGCAGTTGCAAACTGGAGAAGGTTGGGAGTAAGCCAGAAATAGGTTTAGAGAAAGAATTTAAAGTAAATCTGCTCTCATTGAAAGAAGAGAGAGAAAGAGAAGGCTATGAGAAAAAAGGGGAGGTGGCTATTGGGAGAGTACTGGGAAGATTGAAGGACAGATCAGCCAGTGGCATATGCAGCACTGGGACATCATTGAGAACTGAAGGAGTAAAAAAAAGACAGTCAAACACCCAGCCTATGTGGAGAAGCAAGAGGGCAGAAAGCAACACATTGCAACCTAGGTGCATTTGTTCTTAAAGGAACTCTAGCATACCTTTTGCTTTAGTCGTAACTCAGAATCATAACAGTCCAAGTTTGTATTTCTACCAAAACACAACATGAGACAATTCAGCAGAACTTCCAGAGGAAGATACAGAAAGCACAATTTTCAACCATTCTGCTTACAAATATTAGGAGATACGGAAGACAACACATTCAATATCTTGCAAATCTACTTAAAAAAGTTGTTGGATCAACTAGTTCAGAATTAATGTTTCAAATGTGTTGAATACAAACATTTCATAAAAATTGAGAGAGAAGGCAAAGGTTCAGGAATCAGTTTGTGCCCATGATTTCAGAACAGAATAACAGTATAAAGTAATTATACATAATTACATGCTTGCACAACAGTAAACCAAGCTGCTTCCAACACAGAATCTGACCACCCTGGACAATTACAATTCTACCCTGTCTTTTTTTTAAAAAGAGCTCAGTACAACTAAAAGGAAGATCTCACAGTGATATTTCTGGGCAAGACGACCCAGGGCATATGCCCGCCTTAGGCGGGGGGGGGGGGGAATCGTAGCCTCTGCTCCTCATTCAGAAAATGAGTTAATCAGCTGACCTTGGCTGAATGCTGTTGATGGTGTCTTCCATCACATAAAAAACCAGAAAATCAGCTAGAGGGCACTGCAATGGCTATAAGTGTACTGCAGCTTCAAGCTATGTGTCATTTGAGGTAGCTATCTTACTATATGTAATTTGGTGATAATTCTTTTTATGGCTGAAACAATTTAATTAACAATATTTTTAACATTCAGAGAATTCTCATAATTTTAAAGTTTTTAGGTAAATAGGTTAACTTAGACAAGGATGATCTCTAAATGCCCTTAGGCAGCACATTGAAGAGGCTATTCTTCATCTCTCTTCCTGGAAAAAAAAGTGTCCATATGCAAATGTCTTCACATGGACCATTTGAAGGATAGCCTATTATAGGATGAGACATCCATCATAGATTCTGGAGACGTGAGTAACCTGCTCTTCTTGCAAAGAGGCAGACTGGTCCCCCTGTTTAGAAAGTGAGGATGTGAGATTATTCTGAGTAGGAGGAGGATGACTTAAACTAGCCTTGAAATCAGTATTTGGAGTTTGATAGGCACTGGACTTTGACAAAATACTAGAAGTACTGGTGGCCTTGGCAGAAGCATAGGCATGCTGGCAAGGTATGCTAGTGGTAGAATCTAGAGGAGAAGAAATGGAGCTCGCCGTTTTTGTACTCGAGGAAATTATAGTCTCGCTTGCTTGTGTGCTCGGTCCCTGATATGTGAAAGCATAAGTCTCAGAAGATAGGTTACTGGAATTAGTGGTGATCCTGCTGGAAGCATATGCAAACTGATGGTGTGAACAGATGTTGGATTCTGGTGACCAGGAAGTGGGGCTTGTTGTTTTTGTGTTTGAGATTACAGTACTAGCTGCCCTGGAAGATTGTCTCTGCTGAGTGGAAGCTTGAGTCTCAGAAAACAAAGGAGTGGAATTACTGGTGATCTTAGCAGAAGCATAGGCAATTTGATCATATGAGTTGGCAGTAGAGTCTAACAGACAAGAAGCTGGACTTACTGCTGTTGTCCTTGAGGATACAGATGACGAAGCCCTGGAATTATTGATCACAGATGAAGTGTGCAAGGATCCACTGACTGAACAGGCAATGGATGATTCTGTGGTTGAACTGGTTTCAAGAGGATTCACATAAGTGGGTTTTCTTGGATACACTGCTACAGGAGATACGCTGTCCAAAGAGGCTTTTCTGAGGTTCTTATCTGCTAAAGAAACAGAAGTGGATTGCAGATCATCTAGTCTTGCATGGGCAGGCTGTTGTAATTGGTGGTTTAGTTGGGATCTGGAAGGAAAGCAGCTTGCGGAATTTCTAGGCAATGAAGAAGCAGAACTCCTCTTTGCAGAAGAGTCAGGACTCGAGAAATGCTGCAAAGCTCTGGATTGTTTTTGTGCTTCAGAGAAGGAATCAAATTCTGAAATAGCATGATTATAATTCCTTTGTGCTGTACTTAGGATGGGAGGTGGTGGTTGTACTGAAAGCATAGGCTGAATACTATTGGAGCTCTGTGATGCACCTCCTGGAGGGTGAATTTCAGGTTTTACTAAAACTGAGGGAACTGGTGTTGAGTCAACTGATGGAACAGTGTCAGAAATCTTTGACTTAGTGGGAGTTGCAAATCTGGGTTTAAGAATACCTGGCTGCAAATTCTCACTACATTCTGTGCCTTGAAAATATGCAGGTAAAGCTGCAAAGCAACGTGGAATGAAGGAGATCTCTCCTAGCTTGGGATCGGGACCATTCAAACAAGATTTGTTCATTTCCATCACTTTAATGGAACCTGGGGTACTCTGGGTGTGAAGTTCAGTGAATGGCTTATTCCCCTTATTTTCTACAACTCTGACGGACTGATAATATTGCAAGAAGGAATGAGGGGACTTAGGTACAGGCATCATGGCAGCCCTGGGAACAACAGGCATCAGGAAAGACTGTGGAATGATCAACGATTCATCCTTAGGCAAGGAACGACCAGGAAGCACTGGAATGTCTTCTACTTTTGACAAATCAAGCTGATCCGAAAAGCCTGGCAAGCTTGTTCTGGCCTTCTTTTGTTCTTGGCATGGGGCCAGAAGCATATTTAGGGATAGGTCCTTAGAGCTGCAGCAATCCTTGCTTCCTGGCTTTTCAGGAGGGATTAAAGGTGATGTCGAAACGGGATGGGAATCAAAGGTTTTTACAGCAGGTTTAGTCACAGGTTCAGGATTGACCAATGAAAGATTACATACCACTGCAACATTCTCAACTTTGGAAGAGGCAGGCTGACCTGGGGAGAAACAAAACATAAATTTAACTGAAAATTGAGTAGATAAATGGTAGTGGGTACCATTGGAGGACAGAGAGCAGAGCAGCTTATATGATCTTGGCCAATAATTTCAGGCTTCATACTCACCTGGGAAAGAGGCTGAAAAAAAAGTGTAACTTTTGATAAAACTACCTAGAGAATTTTGACAGATCTCTGAGCATTTAATAATTAGGCTCACATATATTTGTATTTGTATTGCTTTTGTTGGCTCTTTATTGGCCTTCATCTTGTCTATAACAAAATCCAACATATTAAGGTAGGGTAGATTGCACATATATAGATGTGTGGGCTGAGTGGAGGAAAACTTTAGGAACTTTTTTTAAAAAAAATGTCATCTGCCTGATTGTAGGGTTTGCAAAATAGACTCACGTTTCCATTACAAGATGTCAGGAAACTGCTAGCAGTTTTCAGCAATGATGGTCCATAGGAGTTCTGAGGGCTCAATTACCATATACTGATTTTGCCTTAAAATCAAATTAATAAACATTTGAATGAGGGGAAAAGTTCTACAGTGTCTTGCATTTTCCTTTTTGCCACACTTTCCTGGATCCAAACGCCAAAACATAGAACATATCTGTGTTTTTGTATATTCCGCCCTCCAAAAAACAACCAATCCCTATTATCCCAAATTCTTTGTCCTGTTTTGTTTTTACAGAAGAGTGGGGATACTTCTTTTCCTGAAATGGTGATGGTACCAGCTTCAGTCTAAAAATAGACAAGGCAGGCAGAAGCAACCACCTTATTTAATTCTTCTTATCTTATCTATGCTTAAGATTTGTAATCCTTGTGCCTGATGAACATGAAGTGTTCTTGCTTGTGAAGCATTTCATACATCTGCAGTTGGAATAAAAACTCTAATTTTGTTTTAATTTGGTCATATGGTTTGTGGAAAAGTGTGGAAGGAGAATCTGGGACATTTTTCTGTTTCAAAAACTAAATGCAGAGGAAATGTCAAATTAGGAAACTAAGGAAATTCCATAACAGCACATACCTGGTTTTGCAAGTGACACGTCAGGGGATACGGGCAACAGTAACGTCTGAACTCCATGACCCTTCATATAAACAGTGTCCGGCATCTCGAGAAGACGTTGTTTGGTAGAAGAGGCATTCCCCACTGGAAAATGTTGTTTAAAGGTAGCACTATAGACAATCCGGAACTGGAATAGAGATATGCCCCTTGGATACTTGGCCATAATCTGGGCCACCTGTTGCTTCAGTTCATCCAGAGCAGTTGAAGGTTGGAATATGGGCACTTGTGAACTGCCAGGTGTCTCTTCAGTGACTGATTTTGCACTGGGCTGGCGTGGGTTTGGCTGCTGTGACGGAATAGAAGAAAAAGAAGAACTCTTGGCTTTGACTGATAAAGTATTGTGGGACTCATGTAAGTTTGAGGACATGGTATTTGGATAAGACTGGTTGGTATGAAACAAGTTTACTTCAGGAGGGACTACAGCAATTGAAGTAGGTTCATTCTGACACTCAGAGTCACTTGCAGAGGGATCACTGAGGGTGGAAGCAGGTTTAGAGTTGTCTTCTAAGTCTAGGAAAGAAAAAATAGTGCACCATTATTGCAGACAACTGAAGGAGGACATGTAACATATTAGTACATCTGTTATTTTAAGTCTCTAAGAGGCAGAATAAGAGACAAAGAGTTACTTTAAAAAAGAGCTATAGCAAGTTAACAGCAATTTGGGATCAACACAACCTAAGAATCATTTGTGTATCTCCTTCTTAAGGGATTAAACTATAAATTTCAGTGTTATAGTGCAGGTGCTCCTCAAATTATGCCAGTAATGGAGTCATTACCATGACTGCAATGCAAGTCATGACGGTCATTAAGCAAGGCGCCCACATACCAGTAATTTCTTCGCTTAATGATTCACATTGTGCTCTCCCAAATATAATTGTTAAGTGCCATATAGAGTGCATCAGAGGTAGGGGAGGTCTAGCACAGGCTCTGGCTTTCCTGCGCTGAGTCTTCCAAGGCCTCCCCTACTTCTAGGCACCACATGCTCTGTTTCCTGACTCTCAGGGTCCCTGCAGACCTTGGGCCTGCTTCCCACCCAGCCACTCAGCTACCAAGGATTCAGGTGGCTGCAGATGCAAATGGAACATGGGACCTTGCTGCCGCTTGTAGACCTTGGGTTTGTCCTCCCCTCCAAGGGACTTGGAGGACTCAACCAATGCAAGGCTCAACTTTCATAGAGGCAGCCTTGTGGAATTCTTGTGCCATTATGCAACCAGATGCCATTTTCACAATCCTTTGGAAGCCTCCATTTTTAAAGAAGCTCTGTATTTAAGAAGGCCTGTTTTAAGGATGGAGCCCTCTTTGAAACAGAACCTCCTTAAAAATGGAGGCTTTCAAAGGATCGTGAGAATAACACCTGCTTGCAGAATGGCAGGTAGTCTATAGGAAAATTGAGCCTTGTATCTGCTGGGCATCTACCTCAGAAGCTGTAAGAAAGAAAAAAATAAGTTGAGTACTGCTGGGTTTTGGAACTGACTGAGGAGCAGACCAAGTCCTGCAACTCCCTAGTGGACTGAGTGTCTTGGTCAGAAAACCCGCACAGACCTCTATGGAGAAGAAAACCAGACCCAAGATCTGCAAGGACTCTGAGAAGAATGGATGCAGGAAACAGGTAAAGGGCAATGCAGTATTCCCCCATTGGTCATTAAGGGCAAAATGACCACTGGGGAGTTGCAGTAACCCTAACTTTGAAACCAGATTGAAAGTAGCTCTAAGGGGGTGTAATTTCAAACGGTTACTAAGGGTTACTGTAGTGATGTAGATCATTACTTTACCTCTCATGGTGATAACATATGAAATAGAACCAAGATAGAGATCATTACACAGGCAGGTTGGGGGTGGGGGAGAGATTTTGTGCTTTTAATGATCAATCTAAACTTTTATACTGGGCCTCAAAATTGTAGTGAATGATTGCAAAATATGTTGGATCCACTTAAGCCAAATTTCTGAAAAATCAAATTTTAAAAATTCAAATGCCCCGTTTCTAAGAAAACTAAACAGATAACAACAAACTGTTAAATGGAAACAATCAAAACCAAAAGGAAAGGATGAGGGAGTTATGAATCCCCTCTCTTTATTCAATTTCATTTCACAACATTTCCAACCAAGATGGTTATAGTTACTGTTAATGGAAGTTATAATCCAACAACAGTTCAAGAGAACATGGTTCACCATTATTTAGATTAAGGGCAGGCGACCTGGCATTTCATGGTTATTTGGGGCTATGCAAGTAGTCCCCAATGTATAACCAAAACTGGAACCAGACTTTCCATCGTAAGTTACTGAAGACTGATTTTATGACAATTTTTATAGTAGTTATTAAGGAAATCACTGCAGTTGTAAAGCGAACTACATGGTCACTGAGCAAATCTAGCTTCCCAATGGTGGGTTTTTGATTGGAAACTAAAAAAACAAAAATGCAAACGGTGGTCATGTTCCTGCAGGATACTGCAATCAGTAGCAAATGAGAACCAATTGCCAAGCTCTTGAACTGCAACCATGTGACTGAAGGGGTGAAAGTATGAGTACAGGTCACAAACCACAATTTCCCAGGCCGCTGTAACTTCAAACAAATAACTGTAAAATGTGGATTGCCTGTAATCTACACTACCACCCCCCAGCTCCAATGCATAAAATCAGCCTGCGGATCTCAAAATCAAGACCCATCTTCACAATATAGGATATGAAAATAGCTCTGCCTAAACTTTAAAAAAAAAACCCTGCTCTGGGCAATATAGACCAGGGGTGTCAAACTGGCGGCCCGTAGGCTGCATCACGTGTACGCCACGCCCACCCCAGCTCCGCAAAGGCAAAAGTCATGATACATCACATAATGCGATCAAGTTTGACACCTGTGACATAGACTATAGTGAGATGAAGCAGCTTGGGGTTTTAACTTCACCACAATAAATTCAAAGAAGGAAACACGTATAAGCCGCTAAAATGTTTGCATTTGGAGTCTCTTGAAAAATGTATGTTCTATTTCTTCATTGTTTGCCCTCTTTCTATTTTTTCCCCTCTTTCTATAAAGGTCAACGAAGATTGTGCAAAAGTCAAACAAATCCCTCTCCATTCCAATATCCACCAGAAAAAACTTTTTTTCTAGCCTCAGCAAATACGTAATAGACTACATAATAGTGTGGTCTTATTGTTAATGAGTGAACAACTCTCGCAGAGATTTATTAATAACAGTTAAGTTGAAAAATTTTGCCATTACAAAAAAAACAATATTCTATAAATAGAATATATACAAAGAAATTTTGAGTGTATGTGTTGTGGTTAGCTGGCAGCAGATGCAGATGGCTGAGGAGAGCGATGACTCTGATGAGGGGCCAGGACCATCAGGGAGTGGACTGCTGCCTTCAGAGATTGTGGGGGCTGGCAGCAGTGATGAAGAGGTTCCCGAGGAGCCTGTGCCAAGTGCACGTGCACCAAGGATTATTTGGAGGAAAGAACAATTACAACAGCACAGGTGACTCGGGAGTAAGGCTGCAAGGTAATGGCCCCTCCCTCAAGAGGATAAAAGCCAAGTTGGAAAAAGCATTCTTTGCAGAAAGCAAAGAAGCTCTTAAACTCAACTGGTGAACATCTTAGTTCGTGTTTGGAGAATTTTGTAAATTAGTTATCTCTGGATTTTTTGGCAGCCTTGACAAACAACTTGGCAAGACTCTTTCTTGTTGGAGCTAATTAGTGGAAAGCATCCTTCAGAACAGAAGTCATTATTAAACCTTAAAAGGTGGGGGCTGCTGCCTTTTTCTGTATTTGCTCTTTGGAAACCCGGTTGGGTCAGAACAGTATGTCCACTCCAAATACCAAACTATTAAGCTTTACATTTGATATAACACAGACCCATTACTGGATTTCAAGTCCAGCAAGGGATAATGAAGACAATCTTCCAAAAGGGAGAGCCCAGCCTAGTTGAAAATTACAGACCAATCTCTTTATTCTGCATCACCTGTAAAGTCATGAAATCAATTATTAACCAATCCATTATCCTCCACTTAGAAACAAACAACTTACTTTCTAATAAACAATTTGGTTTCAGGAAAAACTATCATGTAATCTGCAACTCTTACACTGCAAAAACATATGGACTGCACAACTCGATCAGGGCAAAGCAATAGACGCAATCTACATAGACTTCTGTAAAGCCTTTGATTCAGTGGTACACGACAAACTACTCCTAAAACTAAAATCTTATGGTATCCCTGGACACCTGCATAACTGGATAGAAGCATTCCTGTCAAACAGACAATAAATGGTCAGAATTGGGAGCGTCCTATCAAATTCTGTACCTATCAACAGTGGTGTCCCCCAAGGCAGTGTTCTAGGACCAACTCTCTTCATACTCTACATAAATGACCTCTGTGATCATATTAAGAGCAACTGCGTTCTCTTCGCTGATGATGTAAAGCTATTCAATACCACCGACAATACTGCTACCCTTCAAAAAGACCTCGACTATGTATCAGAATGGTCAAAACAAATGGCAACTTCAAATCTCAACAAATAAATGTTCTGTCTTACATATTGGCAAAAAATATCAGAAAATAAAATGCAAGCTGAATAATCAAGACCTTGTTGATGATCCAAACTCTGTCAAGGACCTTGGAGTACTCAACTCTAATTATCTAAGTGCTAGAGCCCACTGTAACTACATAGCCAAAAAGGCATTAAGAGTTGTTAACCTAATCTTATGTAGCTTTTTCTCTGGTAATATCACACTACTAACTAGAGCATACAAAACATCTGCTAGACCAATACTTGAATACAGCTCATCAGCCTGGAACTCGCATTACGTTTCTAATATTAATACAGTTGAGAAAGTCCAGAAATATTTCACAAGAAGAGTTCTCCACTCCTCTACTCATTGCAGAATACCTTATGCCATTAGACTTGAAATTCTAGAACTAGAAATCCTAGAACTATGCCGCCTTCGGTCTAATCTAAGTATAGTACATAAAATTATATATTGCAATGTCCTACCTGTCAATGAATACTTCAGCTTCAACCATAACAAGAGTACACAATAGATACAAACTCAAGGTTAACCGCAACAAACTTGATTGCAGGAAATACAACTTCAGCAACAGAGTGGTCAATGTCTGGAATACTCTACTTGACTCTGTGGTTTCTTCGCCAAACCCCAAAAACTTTAACCTTAGACTGTCTACTATTGACCTCACTATTGACCTCAACCCTTTCCTAAGAGGTCGGGGGGGTGTGTGTGCATAAGCACACCAACATGCCTACCATCCCTGTCCTATTGTTTCTTTTTATTTTTCTTATATGTATCCATTTCATGTATTCATAACTATGTTTATACTTATACCCGTTATCTTATAATCACTTGACAAAATAAAATAATAAAATAAAAATAAATAAATCGAACAAAGATAACATCATAATGTATTGGGAGAAAAGAAATTGAACCAATTGTGTAATGATCTTTATTATTGTGAAGATCTCAAAGGTTAATTAAAAAAAACAATATAGAAAATAAACATGCTAACAATTACAGGCTATTGCAGGTCTTCTTGAAAACCATCTCTATCTTTATAAGTAAGAAGCTTAAAGTTTTACCTAGATCAGAATTTAGGGGGTCAGCTGTTCCTATGGATTTCAGAGGAGGAACTGGAGCATTTCACAAAGTAAATTTAACATTGGGATGTATTGGAGAAGAAATTTAAGCAATCAAATACTGACCTCTGTTGTTATATAGATCAAAAAGCTAGGTTTTTTTAAAGAGCAATATGGAAAATAAACATGCTAACAATTAAAGGCTAACTCTCATTAGCAGAATAAAATCCAAGAATGCACTTTCATACAGAAAGGCTGTAGATAGCTGTTAAAAAAGTACAAGCACACATTAGTGACAATATTTTCCAAAACGTATTTATCCATTGCAGAGATGTAACAAAACAACGAATGGAAATGCAGGGGAAGATTGGCAGATAGAATGAGGTAAAGGTTTCCCAGTCCAGTCATGTCCAGTTCTAGGGGCAATGTTCATCTCTGTTTCTTAGCTGAGGGAGCCCGCATTTGTCCAAAGACACTTCTGTAGTCATGTGGCCAGCATATGTACCCTTCCATAATACCACCTCTTACAATACAAGAAAAACATAATATCAACAGTAGAGACCTTCAAATTTCTAGGTTCTATCATATCTCAAGACCTAAAATGGACACCTAACATCAAAAACCATCAAAAAGCATAACAAAGAATGTTCTTTCTGCGCCAACTCAATTCAGTGTCATTGTAACTTTGAATGGTCACCAATTTTAGACTCATGTTTGAATGTCAATCTTTCTAGCTAGCCAAGAAGCCTTGCTGAATGTCACTCATCTTGGTTCCTTGTCATTAAAAGCTTCTTTCTGGCAGCTCTGCTTTATTATTCAATTATTTCTTCAAAGTGCTAACCCAACAGGGGAGCATTTCCTCCCAACAGCAGTGTAAAAACCTTAAAACAACCCTTCCCCTTTAAGAAAGTACCAGCAATCCCATCTTTTACTAGCAAAAACTCTTGCAATTTGAAAATTCTCAGGCCCTTCTCATAATTGCTTAAGAGGGCAGTGACTAATGCCATGACTTCGCCCAGTACTGTTGAAAAGGAGGGAAAATATATAGACAGGCATAAAGTTCAGAAAAGCCATGGAGAACAAACTAATACATCAAACCAATCCATGAATACCATAATATCATATAGTCACACATAAAAAATTACTTAGGAATCCCATCTTAATCAATAATTATATGCATGTGTTTGCTTGTGCTGAACTTAACATTGATTCAACTAAACAGGCCACGAAATACTTTTCTGAAAAGTGCAAAACAAGGTGTTATGGCCAAGAATACAAAAGCAAATTAGATTCCAATCAACCCTGTTAAAACCAACTTACTAGGCCTGTGAGACTATACATACATACTATATTAAGCCGTAGTACGATTTGCTTGGTTTTAGCTCAGCATAATAAGGCACAATGTCAGCGTTCCAATGAAACTCCCTATTTCATTCAGCACTCAGAAACAAATTTCATCCAAGCTTCTGAGTAAAATATGGCTTCCAAAGCTGACACACAATATGTGAACTATTTCATCAGGCATGTTTGAAGACCATGGTTAAAACAGCCTATTTAAACACACATAAACCATAACCAATGGCTCATTGCTTGAAAGTGATCGAATTCCATTTCTATATCCACCTCTACAGAGAACTAAAAAAAATTCTATTCTACAGGCATGATATTCCGCTCTGGAAAAAAAATCGGGGCCGGCCAAAAGAGACCCCCCGCCGCGCGCCCGGGGAGCGCCCGCTGCTTTCCCTCGCCAGGGCCGGGCGGTGGCGTGTTGCACGGAGGCTGGTCTGTGGCTGGCCCAGCTCCCTTTTCCTGCCGCTCAGCGGCCTCCGCTCGCACCACCCGGGCTCCGCTCAGGTATCCGGCTGGGGCTGTCAGGAGTTGCTACCGCCGGCGCAGCTCCACGTGGCTCCAGTCCCGCGTTGCCTCGGGAAAGGAAAGGCAAAACCAGGAGCCGCTGCTGCCGTTGCAAAGTGCCGCCGCAGCTCTTCCTTTTTGCCTTTCCCTTCCTGAGGCAACGCGGGACTGGAGCCGCGCGGAGTCGCGCCAGCAACTCCTGACTCGGGGCCTCCGAGGGGAGGGGAAGGAGGAGAAGAAGGGGGGGGAAAGGGGGGGGATTCCCAAAAAATCGGAATTCCGATTTTAATCGGAAGAATATCATGCCTGATTCTAAAAAAATAGCATCACTTATTTGTTTAGATTAGAACATCTTATTTATTCTGTGATTTATCATGCCTGGTTTCTTGTTTTAGCACTGTTTGTACCTGGGCAGATTGTTCTACATTTCGGGGGAATAAGCAGTAAGGAAAAAGGCAAATTCTTTTACAAAGAATTCATGATGTACACATTTTCTAATTTGTCATTTTCCCAAGACCTTCCAAAGTTATTTTTAAAATATGTCAATCCTTTAATTTTACAGGTTTGCCATCTTCCAGAAAAGGATACCAAGCAATTATACTCTAATTTCTAATCTTTATTAAGATCACTTTTAATTTACTTATTTTCATGCTGGTACTCTCCAATAGGGTTTGATCCTTATCATGGGTCCTATCATGCATTATCAATAGTAATATTAGATTTTTTAGATTAATAAACTGATGGATAGTAGATAGTGGAAGGCTGTTTGAATTAATGTTGATCTTCCCATTTTCAAGCAGGGCTGCACAGGTTTCCTACTTTTATGATTTTCTCATAAACTGAACTATCTTGTAATATTTATGTAAAAATAACATATCCAAACTAATTAAAAATGAGTGATCAGCAAATGTGAGACACACATTTACAGAAGTAAAATTGGGCTGGGCAGTTTTATTGTTGTACCGTAATGAAAAAAATGGTGAACTATGGCTGATGGTGATGATAGCTGTTGGTATGGTGATATGGCTGAAGAAGGTCATGGCTGTTGATATGATCTAGCAAAATTCAAATTGGTGCCTTCTAGATATTTTTGGGACTACAACTCCCAGAAATTTCTCTGAAACATGCTAGAAGAGAATTTTGATAATCTAATTCCAATACACCTTAGCATACCAGAGTAGAAAAAATTGTTCTAGGGTTATATGAGCCTGTTCTGCCCTATAAACCCAGAGTTGTACACAAACTTTTAAGTAAATCATACTTATTGTAAGAAAGAATATGTACATGTTTGAACTGAGAGTACCATATGCAGTAACAATTATAGCAGGTGCAGAAATGATAAAGGATCTACTTGATCGTCAAGAGGGCTTGATACCTAATGGTATTAACAATCTGTTTTCATAGAAATAGACCACTTCATCTAACATTCTCTGATCTTTCTAAGCCTGGTTCCCATTGTTTCCAAAATTTTAGAATTAAATAGAAACTTACCAGGCATCTTTTCAGATTCATCTTCGTTTGAATTGTTTGATGTGCCAGTAGATTGATCTGAGCCAGGACTGGAGGAATAGCTGGATTGGTATGAAGAGCAGCTGAAGGGAACTGGAATAGTAGAAACATAGGGGGAAAATGTGAGAACATTCAGAATGTGAGAAATCAGAGAAACAAATCTGGCCAAAAAACCCCATCCAATTACAGATTCTCAACTATAGTAGTTGATAGATAGGATGGGATGAATAAGGTGTTGGCTATTTACTCAGTTCAACAACTGAAAGGTCACTTCCATCTTCACAGTTTGGGTAATATGAAAGACCATTTTCTCCATCCTTCTCAATTATTCTTCCCTCCAGATAAATGGAAACCATCAATGGCAAAATTTCCAGTCATTAAAAAAGATCAAGATTTCCCCTGTTCAGTCATGTCTTGACTCTAGGGGGCAGTGCTCATTTTTGTTTCTTAGCCAAGGGAGCCAGCTTAGACTGTAGCACAGTATTTTTACTAGACCAAATGTCAGCCAGCCTGCTGCTTGCCACCATAGAATAGGAGGGAGGGAATAGGGAGAAGCTTACATTGAAGCTTTGCAACTGCTGTTATCTCCAAGGCCAAGTCCGTTGGCTCTGGTATGTGGTTGCCTAGTTGTAAGGTGGTTGCATTGCATACTGTGTTTGAATCTGGATTTACATTTTTTTGGCCTCATAGCTTGCTTGAAACTGTCTGCTATCAGTTTGTTTCTAGTAAATGTACTTTTCTCTAAATCTATGGAGTCAAGGATTTTCTTTCCTAGGAAATGAACAGAGGCAGCTCTGACATCAAACTTTTTTCTTTTTGTAGCCCAATCCAAAGCCAAATACTCTAGATGTGTTGTACATGCAAGACCCACTCCCCACATTAGGGATGCCAATAACCATCACCAAGAGTGATGGATCTATCCAGGGGATAGCTAATGAAGCCTGTTAGTTTGATAGTTCAACTTTAATTTAGGCATCTTTTGCTCCAAAAATTCCAATGTGTCTTTGTCGCCCTGGGCAATGCTGAACTTCTCAAAATCAATCCCTTCTTTTATCAGCAAGTCTTGCAATTTCTTAACTCTCAGGTCCACCTTATACAGTATCTGCTTAAGAGGGCAGTGAGTGAAGCCATAACTTCTCTCAGTATTGCTGAAAATGTATATACAGGCATGTATACAAAATGTGTATACAGTTCAGAAAAGCCATGGAGAACAAACTAATACATCAAACCAGACCAAGAATACTACAAGGGCCATATTCACAAAAATGGCAGTTGTTAAGTGAATCAGATCAAACTCACCAGGCTTCTTTTCAGATGCAGCTTGCTTTACTTTCTTTGATGTGCAGATAGGCTGTTCTGAATCAGGAGAATGGCTGGATCGGGATGAAGAGCAGCTTGAGTAACCTGGAGGAGTAGACAAGTAGGGGTGAAAGGTATGGAAATTCAAAAGCCAAAAAAACAAATCTGGCCAGAAAAAAAAATCTGACTACACATTGCCAATTAAATTGAAAATTGATTATGTATCATATTAGGGACACTATCACAGACTGTGGATTTTCAGTTTATTTGTTTTTTTCAGGGAGATTTAGCTATACTTCATGCTCACCATGATATAAAGGAAGATTTCAAAAGTGGTTTAAACGCCTTTGACTTCTGCCTAGAGCTGAGAGTGAATGACTGACCAGTCACCTAGCTGGCTTTCTACATGAGGGCCAGAATGTGGGTTTACCCATGACTAGTCTAGCACCTTTATCCACTACACTGAATTAGCTCATATTCCTCCACACATCATTTTAATATTAGTTTTCCTATAATAAATTACAAGAAATTTAAGTAGATTTGATTTTGCCGTGATCATTTGAATGCTATGCCTCACAAATATTATTGGGTCAAGAGCTTCTTCAGTACAGGGACCATATCTTCAGAACATCTTGGCTCCCTTGTTTCAGATATTGATAGCAATGAAGTTGTAAGCTTTGCTTATGCCTCCTCTCCTAACACTGGCTAGATTTGCTTAATATGTCTCTTGACACTACTGTCTTTTCCATTGTGACATCATAGTGAGTCCAGGTGAACCTAAAGTCCTTGGGTTAGCTCACTGAAGTTGAAATTCTCAGTTGTTCTAATGATCTCAATGAAGACTTTCTGTATAAAATTATGACTCTTATTGTTTCTAATTTGTTGACTTTGCTCAAACACGAAAAGGAGGGGGGAAAACTTTCAATTTGCTCATTATACCCAGTTATATATTGGGGCTTGTGTTCTTCTTTTTCTTTTCTTTTTTATGAGTCAGGATATTTTTATTTATATATAAACATTTTGAATACAGTGTATTTTCCAGGCATACCTTTTTACAAAAGAAAAGAAATAGTAACATATATACCGATAACACCATATTTATAATTATGTTAGCTTATTTGTAAACCTACTCATTATATTAGCATCCTTATAATTATAAACAATGTTCATGTTTAATTTATACACAACAATGTTCTTATGTTCTACTTTTTCTACATGTGAATAATGTGGCTATCCTTTCATAAGCACAGTAGGACAATTGAGCACTCAAAGCATTCACTGATTCTACTGAGAGCCCTCAATGGTAATTATTTAGCAGACAACTGGTTGTTTTTGCCAAGAAACTCAAAAGATTTCATGAAGCACCAAAGAGAATGAAACTGATATTAAAAATTTTAGGTATTTGGGTATAGATTCCAGTCCTCTAGTGACTGAAACATAAAAATTGATCATATTGTTTCACAAGTGTAATGGAATACAGCAGCTACTATGATTTTTATAGCATTTGGGCATTTGGGCAGACCATTTCTTTCTCCTTTTGGAATACACATAGGCTAAAATTATAATTAGAAAAAAGGTGGTCCATGATTTCCCATCACATTTGAACCCAACATTTCCATTGCTAAGCAAGTCACTTGTCAAGTGAGCTTTGCCCCATTTTACGACATGGCAATTCCAGCAGTCCCCAGTTACCATCATTAAGAAAGGTCTATGCAGGTTTGTTAAACAAGGACTTCATGTGATCAAAACACCCTACTTCCTGCAGGTTTCTCCATTGACTTGGCTTGTGGGAAGCCTACAGGAAAGTCACAAATTATGGTCACATGATTGTGGATTTTGCAACAGTTGGAAATTTGGGGATGTTTTTGAGCAGATTGCAATAATTACAGAAGTTCACAAATCATTTGTAAATACCATCCTTTCAATGTTGTTGTTGAATGAGTAATCCATTAACTGAAGACTACCTAGAAAGTAATAGGTGTCATCTTCCATGATCATCCTACCCAGTCCTGGAAGCGTATTAGCACCACTGACCTTAGTGTGAACTTCAGAAAGTGATATTAGGCATTCAGGACTGTTGAAATACTAGGTACATAAGCTAAATTTCACTTTATTGGTAGTTCACATCCCTCTTTATTTTATTGCTATTTCCTTGCCTGAACTATCTTGCTCAACATAAGCATGCTCTTTTAAATGCCTCAAAGCCACTCCATATTCATTTATCCAAACATCTGTTTGCCCATCAGTTACATTTCTTACCTGGCTTAAGTTGAATCCTACAATTCCTGCTTTTATTCCTGTTTATTATCAGCTTAGGAATCTCCTGGAGGCATGAAAGTATGTCGCAAAAGCCAACCTGATAACAAAATACTTCCAGGTCATATCCACATTTCTTCTTCACCGCCTCTTTTAATTTTGACAACTTCAAGCCATCAGGATATAATTTCAAGATGTCACAAATTGGCACTGATACAACTGTTAAATCTGCAAATGAAGATAATGATTTCAATCCTCATATTAGGTAATTAGTAAATAGTTTTGCTATAAATGAATCAATACTGCAGGAGTAAACCATTGGATGCTCCTAGAAATCTCCAAAAGTCGCAAATTGTAATTTCAAGTTACAGAAGGATGAAATAATTCAGTGTGGAACTTGAAAACAGCCACATTAACTATACCTAAAATTGATGAAAATTCATGAAGTCAAATGAAATTTTGCTCCTGGATTTATTAAGTACATTTTTGAGGAGATGGCACTTTGCTCAATAACCAAAGATCAAATGCAGTTTCTGGAGTCAAAAGAGGTGCTATTTTGCCAGCCAACTTAAATTCAAGGAAGTGGATTAGAAAAGGTTTTGAAGGAATGCCCACAGAATGAACTGTTGGCTAGGAACTAATTTCATCAACATACACAGATACAGTATATTTGTACATTCCTCAAAATCTCTCATTGTCTTATTAAGAAACTAACTCACTGAAGTTTTTGTGACATTTTATGAAGAATTTTGAAAGCTTTCTCTTAATCTCATTTAAGGCTATGTATAAATGCTATCATGGATCCCATAGAATTCAAGCAAGGGTAGTTTTTAGCCCTGTGTCTCCTGCAGAAATTTGTATAAGAGAAAGAAAGAAGAAATTCTCAATCAACCTGAAATTGTGAAAGTATTCCATTCCCACCTCATGATCTGTTTAAGAGTAGAAAAAAATCAACTACCAAGGCCACACTGTTGTGTTCCCTGGAAGGTAGTCCCCATTAGCCATTGAGAAATTATTTCTATTTAATAATAGTACAAAGCCCTTTTTCCAGACTAAGATTAAGGCTAGTTTCTGAAAGAGGCAAACTGAGCATTAGGATAGCAGGTTTTTAAAAAGAGGATAAAGAAGAATGTTTTGCTCTATTACTTCTACTAAGATTGTAATTATTGCAATAAGGGCTCACTTTTCCATAAATAAATTTAGATATGAATTACCGAACAGGATCTCTATTCTTTCAGAAGAAAATGTAACATTCCTCTAGGAATACTGTATTTAATTTTTTGAGAAACAGATTTTCTTCTTGCTCTAAAATATTTTTAACTATGGCAAATCATGTCAGAGAGGTAGAAGGAACTGTTATGAAGGGTCCTTAGTGCTCTTTGACCTTGGGTAATGGAATGACTAAGAAAACAACTGAACTAGGTAACATCATCAATGCTCTCCTTTATTAGAACTTTCATGGCTTCTGATAAGTATTTCTTGCTATGGCAACTACATCAATCATGGTAGATCAGTGTTTTCCAGTATGGGAGTTTCCAAATATATTAATTCCAAATTCCCCACAACCACTATCAGAATGGCCACATCTTAAAAGTTCCCTAAGGATATACACGTTCCATGCACAAACAGTTCTGAGCACAGAACATATACTTTCAGGTGGTCTGTATCCAGTCCAAACACTGAGTTCTGGAAAGAGACTGTTGTTGCCCGGATGGAGACAAGAAAATGGCAAAATTCCAAGATTGACAGGAAGGGCATGTAGTAATTAAAGGGAAAGAAGGAAAAGAAAGCAACAGGAAGATAGACTGTCCAGCAGTTGAAGATATCAAGTGATGGCTTGATGCATCACTGCATCATTTTTTTGCAGACCAAAAAAAATGCACTGGGGTGATTAGGGAGATAGGCTGGCTGGTTTGGTATGTACATGCCTGAACCAAGAAAACAGGCAATTGTTAAACGGTTGTAGAGAAAGAAATACACTGGGAAAATTAGCAGATAGGACAGTGCACAAGTCATGAAAAGGAAGAAAAGGGATCCTAGCCTTGCTCTACTCCCCTCAGGAAACCCAAAATGTCCTGGTTTCAGTTTTGTGGAATCTGAATCTACTTGGATTATATGGCAGAAATTCTGAGATATAGTGGGTTTCATGCATTTTTTTAAAAGTTGCTCATGTGGGATGATCTGCGAGATCTGATTTGAATTAGTCAATTCCACAAGATGACAACTAGACTAAAATTCTTTTTTAAGAAAAAGTTCTGGGAATTCGTTTCTAATTTCAAGGCAATAGACTGGTATTAAATAAACCATGTAGATTTTTTGGAGGCATCTGTTTGGATGATATGTGAAAAATGTTGGTAAATTTGATAAGAGTTTTTACCTGATCCAGCAGAGTTTAACCTTCTTATACAATATATAGAGACATTTCTAATTATTACATTAAATATGGAATCAAATTTTATTTATATTTTATTATTTATATCAATTTTATTAAAATAGAGATTTTGTGGCTGTTCTGTCGTCTGTGCTATACCTTCAGAGAGTTGGACAACACATCTGTGAAGGTTCTCTCGATGTCTGATGATTAGCTTAGGTATCTGGTCACCCAAAAAGGTTAGGATATCCTTATAGCCTTTGGTGATGATAAATGCCTGTAGATCAATTCCAATTGTGGAGAGCAATAGTGTTTGGATTTTCTCAAACTTCAAACCCGACTCATATTCTATTAGAAGATTGGTAATTGCTGCTAAGACTTCAGCCAGATCTACCAAATAATGCAAATCAGTGATCAAAAAACAATCCACATCTTAATGTAGCATTTTATAATGATATTATAAATTATCTTAGTCTGAACCTGTCTTCTCCCTGAGGTTCTGTCTCAAGTCTGCCACTAACTTGGTCATTCTTATATAAACATTCTAAAGAAATCTGAAATCTCAATAATCATCAAATATATGTTAATTAGAATGTAAACTGGAATAGCATACAGAGGTGGAAACCTAGAAATATTTCTTGCTGATCTATTATATTTGTAATTTGAAAAAGTAGCTCTTATCATCTAAAAGAACTGAGAAGCATGTTAGCATTCTGTGTTCCATAATTTCCATCAGTTACATGGCTTCAAATAAATGTGATTTTGTAACATGAATTACCTTTGGATGGACAAATATTTCATTTAATTATTAGATGCAAGGGAACTGCAGAAGACTGGATAAAAGGTGAAGATATACTTTTATGAAACTTTGCATCCAGTCATTCATTTCAATGTACTATCTGACATGCAGAGACCAGGCAATATGCCCAGTGAATAAATGAATAGAGCACTGGGCTACTTGTGATTGCTTCAATTAAACTGCATTGCTACTAAGTCATAAGACCAAGAAAAACTTAAGTCTTATCCAACTTGCAATACAGCTAGGCCTTGAGTTACAACTACTGTATAATAGAGCCTACTCATTAGTTGCAAATTATGGTTGTTAAGCTATACCACGATTACCTTAACAAACATCACCCCTCCTCTTCCTGATGAGGATGTTAAATGACTACTTCAGTTATTAAGCAGAGCACTGGGTACCTCAGGGATAAGGGGCAATAGAAGCTACCGGCATCCACAGGGTTGTTACCACTTATAGACCTAGGTCTCCTACCCAGCCACTCAGTCACGCAAGAAAATGCAAAGTGACCCAGAGACTTGCAGGATTTATCCTGCTCCTAAACAAGCTCCAGGAGCCAGCAGCAATAATTCAAGGTGCTGGTTATCACCTTTAAAGCCCTTCATGGCTTGGGACCAGTTATCTGAGAGACTGTCTCTTGCTGGTCACATCTACCGGACCCACTAGAATGGGGAGGCAAAGAATGGTGTTCCATCCCCTAAGGAAATACATCTGGCAGGACCCAAAATAAGGGTCTTCTCCGTGGTGGCTCCCTCCCTCTGGAAATTAGATTGGCCCCCACTCTAACTCTCATTCCGAAGGCCTCAAATACAAAGTTCTGCCAGCAGGCCTGGGGAACCCAGAGCAGCATGGAGCACATTAAATGGCTGGTATGTGTGTGTTGTGTTGTCACTGGGGTGGGAGGATATTATTTTATTATTTTTATTTCTTTTATATTGTTTCTATTTCCTGTAAGCCACCTTGAGTTGTTCTGTGCAACTAGGCAGCAATATAAATTTTCCAAATAAAATAAAACTTACCTTTCCTCTTTTTTTTGCAGAGCCTCATCAGGTCAATGTGAAATTAAACTTTCCTACAGAGGCTGCCTCATGGCAACCACTTGCTATTCTGCAGGCAGTATTATTCTCATGATCCTTTAGGGGGTCCTGCTTTTTAAGGAGGTTCCACAAATAAATAGAGTCTAGCATGTGGTTCACATGAGGTAGCCTCTGTAGGAAAACTGAATCTATGATCGCATCGGCCAAGACACTTCTCTGCAAAAAAAATAGAAAAGCAAGTTGCATGCTGCTGGGCCCTGGAGCTAACCAAAGAGTAGACGATGTCTTGTGCGGGATAACATGTAACAGTCCTCTGCGTGCCAGTAGTTTCTTCTACCAGCTTTAGGATCCCTTAAGTGGCTGGGTGGGAAGCAGGCTTCAGCTGTGGGAAATGTGTTGGCATGAGTAGGACAGATAGGAAGAGGGCCACTGCAATATCCCTGCAATCGCTTATAAGGGTGAACAAATGCAGGGCTATTGCAGCAGCCATAATTTTGAAACTGGTTCATAAATGGATTCTATTTGAGTCTGTTATTTTTTTTATTTAGAGTCTTGTAATTTTGACCAGGCTTTTGAGGGAAGGGGTGGGGGGGGAGAAAATGGGCAGCACACAAATAAAGCAAATAAATAAATGAAGCTTCAAATAGCCAGATATAATGCCAAATATATGAGGCAAATGCTATAGTTCTAGCTGTACTGGGCTGCCTTTTCCCCCCATAGGTAATACATTTACCTGCTGCTGCTGCAGCTGTATCTTCCCCTCTTTCTCTTCCTTCTTCCTTCTTCAATCTTGAATCTTCCTCTTCAAAACTGTCCAGTCCACTGTTTTCTATTTCATCTAGCAAGCCATCAAGATTTAAACCACTTACTAGCTTCATTACTGAGCCACATGATCTTTTGCCTTCTACAACTACAGTTTCTTTCATGTGGTCGAGCAATTGTCTGAGTGAACAATACCCGTAACGAGAGAATTTGGGATGAAAATTATGGATCTGATAAAAAGCTGCACTGAAGTCCCCAAATTTGAGACCATTTGGGTGATTGATTAGCAATTGCAATACATTGTATCTTAAGTCATCGGTATCCTTCCGCTCCAAGTCCATCAGTACCTAAAACCAAATGAACATGTCAAGAACATCACCATTGTTATATATCACCTGGGGACTTATCATACCTGGTCCTAAAAACAAATGAATGCATTCTCACCAACCAAACCTCCCCTAAGAATATCTAACAGCTTAACTCGTCAAATTCCCAGCCAGCACAGAAATAAACCAATAAAAATTTTGCTACCTCTGAAGGGCTAGAAAAAAACTGAAAATCAGTAAAGAGTAAATAGTAGATTAGATGCCATTAGTCAGCTTTTTCATTGTTTACTGATCGTAACAGGATGCAACTTGTTTAATTATGGCTTATTAGAACATGTGATCTGAGCTGTTTTATTCCAGCAAATTTGGGCAAAACAATATATAACCACATCTATTATTCTGAAATAGAAACATGTTAAGAGTGAAGAGTGCTCAGAAAATAATTTAGGACCAGCTTGATCTGGTAGTTAAGGCAACAAGCTAGAAACCAGGAAAGTATGAATCCTAGTGCTGCCTTAGGCATGAAAGCCTTTGAGCCAACCATGTTCTCAGCCCAACTTACTTCAAAATTGTGGGAAAAACAGGAGGAAAAAAGTATTAACTATGTTTGTTTCCTTTATTTATCAAAAATAAAAGTGGGGGGAAAATATATAGGTAGTTCTCAGCTAGTTGCTTAGTAACCATTCAAAGTTACAATCGATCTCCCCAAAAAGTATTTGTGACCCAGTTCTGAAATACCAACACCACGACCACTGCCAGTAACATTTATGGCTGTTTCTAGCATTCCAGAGTTATGAACTGCAATTTACAACATTTTTGCTGAAAATCAGCAAATGCAAATGCCAGTTGTTGACAAAAACACTCCATAGTGAATGAGTTTGCTTAACAACCACAATGTTTGGCCTGCAGAGCATTCTATAAAACAAGGGTAACCACAGAAATGTCACACTTTCTAGGTCCCATAAAGTGACAAGATTTTTTTAAAAAGGAATATGGAGCAATCTTATCTTATCTTCCCTAAGGAAGATAACGGATGAGCAGATATTCTTGGGAGATAGCGGTCCCTCAAGTAACCCAGTTCTATGCCATTTAAGGCTTTGAAGATAACCAGCACCTTGAACTGCAACTGGAAGCCTATCAAAGATGCCAGTGTACTGTAGCTTGTACAGTAGCAGTGTTACACACAGTGTGTGATGCACCCATAATAACCTGTGCCATTGCATTCTGGACTAACTGAATTTTTCATAGTTTTCAAGAGCAGCCCTGCACAGAGATGTGGAACCTTCCTGGAACTTCCCTTAAATTGTACAAAGTAAAAAAGGAACTTCCAAAAAGATTCCACACCCATTTGCACAATTCAGGTGACCCTGTGAGGGTACAGATAAATGTCCTCAATGACTCTCAGAAAGAGTGCTAACAACTAGGTGACAACCAGGAATATAAATCTATTTTCCATCATTCAGTCAAAACTGAAGCAGCTTCTTGGATGAGAAGTGAAATGTCTTCAAGGAAAACAAAGTCCAGTTACCTTTTGAAAAAGCAACTTTGGGATAATCACGATCTGGATGACTGAAAATCTCCATAGACACTGATCAGAATTTCTGTTGCTAAACATGACAATTAAATGAACTGTACTCAATTTCATGACTTTTCTCATGTTGTTCAACAAATCATTACAGCTGTTAGGAGAATCATGTGGTCAGCAAGCAAATTTAGTTTGCCCCATTGACTCTGCTTGTTGTAAAGCTGGGACAGTTGCAAATGATCATATGACACTGGAGATGCTGAACTTTGAAAATGTGACTGTGATGGTTATAATAAGGACCAGAAGTGTAAGGTGCAAGTCATTTTTTTTCAATGCAATTTTGAATGGTTGCTAAACAGTTTTAATTAAGGACTACCTGTAGTATTATTAAGTGGTAGTAAAGCACAAGTAACCCTGAGCAGGGCCTTACAATCCAGGAATGGGTACAACTGACCTATGCAACTGAGCAGCCTCTATGAAGCCAGAAGAAAACTCCAGAATGCACAATAAGTCTGAATAAGATAGTGTCTCCCATTCAGAACCAAAGGCAGAAACTTTCCAACTACCACTTCTGGAGGTCTCAAAACACTACTCAGTTTTGGCAAGGTTCAACTATCACTTGTACTTCCCTATTCAAACTTTGGATTTTAGAAGTCTTTAGGATTTATTTCTGGACAAGTTTATAAAGCAAACATAGGTAAGCTGCAGTTCCTCACATACTGTTCCATGACCCTGTTTCATGTTGGAAGGAAAATTGTCAATAGCAATATATCAAATATTGACAAATAACTGTTTATCCTTGTAGTGTAGAATTGAGGCTTATTTCAGAACAGAACCTAGTCTATATTAAGACATGGCTTAATTATGATTTATCAAAAACACTTCCAAGCAATGGACTGAAATAGTTTACCACCAAGTGGATATACCCAAGGCATTATGCCTTAAATAAAGCACATGTTGGTTTTGCATATGAATGCAGCCAGAAACATTCACTACAAGCCATCCTGGACAAAGACAGTATTATTAAAACAATTACATTTATGTAATGGCTTATAAATTCGAATTGCTAGAACTCTTCCTTTTGTTTAATATAGGGAGTAAAAGGGGAAGGGACTGCAGCTGGCCCTCATCAATTTACAGTGCTAGAGAGAAGAAAAGTCTTCAGAATTGCAAATGAGACTTCTCTGATAAAGCTGAAACCAGGTACCCTCAAAACTTTCTGGAAAAAACCAACAAACCATAGTCGGTTTTTTACTTCTGAAAAAAAAAAGTGCATGCATGTTTTTCCTGCATTCATAATATAAGCCTCTCGGGATGCATGGACAGGCAAAAAAGCAATGAACTCAGGAGTTTATCCATGAACAAACATTTTGTGTTTGAGCTATATGCCAAGCTGATAAAAATCAACAGAAGCCTTGGTAATAGTCCTCACGCAAGATCTTTCTACGGAAGGGGACTTTAAAATCGAGCTGTAATGCCAATACAAACCAGTCTTTGATTCCTAGCGACGGCCTGGACTAGAAAAATGGTTTACCATTGCCTGCGTCCTGGGACTGAGAGACGTGACTGGCACAAGACTCCTGGTCTTCCGCTTTCTAGACTGGTGCCTTAACTATTACATCAAACAGGCTCTTATGTCAGGCTTTAGATACGGACTTCCACAAAATACGTATTTCCAAGTTTTTTTTTAAAAAAACAGCCTGATAGCACCTTTTCCAACAAACTTCATTCGAAGACATACGCTTTTCCTTACTCAGAAATTCCCTCTGAATTTTTGTAATTGCTACTAACCCGGCTCCCCTCCAACTAGACTTAGAAGTGGCAGAGAAATGGGGACGGCGGGAGAGAGAGAGAGACACGTGAATCCAAAGACTCAATATGAATACACTAAGATAAAGAAACGACCACTTTTAAATTCTTACCTAAGTTAAGCCCTTTCTTCTGAAGGGGGTCGGAAGAAGCTGAAAAAAAGAAAACAAGAGTTTAGTAACCGTAGCAAAAAGAAAAACACGTCCGTGCCTTTTCCTCTCGTTTCGTCATGTGATCACAAAGGAACATGTGACTAGGTTCGGCCTCCTCCCTAAAGAGAGTTTGGCGGGGATGGGCGGTTCTTAGTCACCTGGAAATTAAATTGAAAGAAACCATAATTAGAACGTTCAGCTAGGGATACAAAAGCATGGAACGCGCAGAGAATTCGAAGTAGCGCCACGTGTGAGGCGTTGTATGTTACAAAAATTCGAACGGCTGACAGCAAAAAGATATAGCAAGCTCGCTTCATTGGTATCCGAGAGTGATCCGAAGTTTTGTACCCCGAAATTTTCCATTGCCCTTTTTGGAGGAATTGGGGAATTTGCTGGCCAGGTTCACATTTTGAGTTAAACTGAGTCACTCACGAATTTTTCGGTTTTGCTTTATGGGGAAGCCAGTTTTTGTGGGTTGTAACTTAAGGCTGAATTCCTTTGGGCACCATTTGGATTCGCGCAATTAAATATGTTTCTGCGCAGTCTTCCCATCTCCCGTATAAACGTTTGAAATCGCATGATTGTTTCAAACTACGTATTGATATTCAGTACAGGGGATCGCACGTGACCAAAAAATTTGAGCAGTTATTACAGTAGTAGCTGTAAAAACAAATTGGTGTTCTGTATCAATTCTGATATACAACAATAGGAAGTGACCATACTCTGAAGTCTCTCTCCAAACTAAGGAGAGCATAAGAAGTTTTCACTGATCATTTAAAGGTTGGTGGCAACTTGTGGAGCTCTCTGAATATTCATACCTTAGGCTATATAGGCCAGAATCACATATTAAATCAGACCCCTGTATTTGCCTCTTAACATACAGATCTTGCCATCCTTTATGTGAGGTACTTCAGGCAACCAAACCTAGGTTACAAAAATACATTGATCTTGGGCTGAATACCAATGCAGAAGCAACAAAGAACTATAGAAAACTATTACAGAACTCTGCAATGGTCTTGTCAATTCAAAAAATTGTAGCCCAAATATGAAAATCATGGGAGTCTCAGTCTGTTCTTCCCAATCATCACTGTTCATAAAATTGCCTTTACTGCAGCCATTGACTGAGTTTGAGGGGTCATTAGTCCCCTGAGCTTGGTTGTTTTCTTGCAGATGTTTCATTATCCAAACTAGGTAACATTATCCATACTATTGGCTGAGTTTATACAACACGTTAGACTGTGCAGTTGGTACTTTCTGGACAGGAGCATGATGCAAATCCAGGTAAGCAAGGCTAGTTTATAGTTCCATGCACTGTGCAAATCCAGTGCACTAAGTTAATGAAAGAATCTGCAAACATAACAGACTATGCTCTAATAAAAAAAGGCAATACAGGTAGTCCTCACAACCATTGATTTCAAGTTATAATAGCACTGCAAAAGGGTGACTTACAACCAGACTTCACACTTCACAGCAAAATCCCCATAGTCATGTAATCAGAATTTGGTTGCTTGGCATCTGGCTTGTATTTGTAATGTCCTGGGGTCATATGATTACCATTTACAACTGTCCCAGCCCACTTCTGGCAAGCAAAGTCAATAGGGAAAGCTGAATTAATTTTGAAGACTGAATGATTCACTAAATGACTGCAATGACTCCTTAACTGTGGCAAAAAGATCATAAATTAGGCACGACTCATTTAACAATCACCTTGCTTAACAAAAATTCTGATCTCCATTATGGTCGTAAGTCGAGGACTATAGCATCTATTACAGCTGTGGAAATGGGATTTGAAACATGTATTGCTTCAGCAGTTGGCCACTAGATGGCAGCAGGAGGAATTACAGCAATAAGCCAGTTTTGTATTTTAGTGTAAGTTAGACTACTTTTGAGCTCTCAGTTGAAATTATTTGTATTTTTCCTGTAGCAGCCAGGCTTTAGTGTAAGTAAATTAGAATCTGGAAATGTTCTATAGCAAAAGGCTTCAAATATTAAGTTAGATAAAGCTTATTAGAAGATCTCACATATTCCTATTCTCAGTCACCATTTTGGCTGACCTATCCTTGACACATTGGTTGCTGCAAAAAAAAAAGTCGAAGAAGCCATGCCCACCCAGTCACATGCCTACCTAGCCATGCTTTTTATGCTTTTATTCTTATGCTTAGCTAGGTCATTTTCAACTTGTGTTTGGGAACACAAAACTGTTCTTTTGATTGATATGTCAAATGTTTAATTTTTAAAAATTCTTCTCTGTACAGAAAGCCTTATGATAACCATAGATGCTAATTGGTAGCTTGGAATGTCATATGAACACATGTATAAACTACAACCCCGTCTTTCCATGAGTATTGAACATAACCCAACACTCTTTCTTTGGAAGTGAGGCCTTCTACAGGTAAGCTATGCACTTGTGTTGCTAATTATTTAACCACCTACGGTATTTAATACACCTACAGTTTTAAATTGGGTTTTAATACTGGATTTTAATTGCTGTATTTCACTGTTTCTTTTGAGGTGCTGATAGATTTTACACTCAATCTTTTCTGTTAACAAGGTAGTTTTTAGAGCACCTTCAGTTTCTCCTATAATCTGATGGGATAGATTAAGCTGACGTCACATAATCTCTCAGAGAGTTTCCACGGAAGGTACGCTTAACTTGATCTTCCTGATCACCTTGGAAAAACACCTCAAACATGTAAGTGATACAATTATAATTCCTATTAGTAATAAAGGATTATTCTGAGCAGAGACAGCTGCATTTGTAGGTTCTGCCAGGCCATGATTTGCATTAGACAAGTGTTTACTAAAATTAAAATGATTGCATTCACACCTAATGCGAAGGTATAATTTATAGTGCACAACCATACAGGTAGTCCGCAGCTTACAACAGTTCATTTAGTGATCGTTTGAAGTTACAACAGCATCGAAAACAGCAACTTGTGACCGTTTTTCATAATTACAACCATTGCAGCATCCCCATGGTCACGTGATCAAATGCTTGGCAATTGACTCATATTTATGACAATTGCAATGTCCTGGGCTCATGTGATTCTGCAACCTTCTGACAAGCAAAGTCAATGGGGAAGTCCAATTCACTTAACAACCGTGTTACTAAATTAACAATAGTGATTCACTAGCAAGAAAATGGGGCAAAACTGTCTCATTCAGCAACATAAATTTTGGGCTCAGTTGTCATAAGTCGAGGACTACCTGTACAGATAAGAGTTTCTCAACCTTGTCAACCTTAAGACATGTGGACTTCAGTATGCTGGCAACTGAAATCCACACATTTTAAAATTGTCAGGGATTAAAAACACTGATATAGATATGCTAAGCCAGATCCAAAGAAACTATTCTAGTTGGTTGTGCTGTATCAATCTTATTGATGGTAGAAATGAAGAGGAAAAACATGCAAGTGATAGTAAAAATCTAAAATAAATAATATTAATGGATATTAAAGCTGCAGTGTATGCAAAAGGAACACAGACTTTTTAAAGCAGTATTCTAGTTAATACCTGGAAGATGGAACAAGAAACCATTGTTCCTCAATCCAGAAGGCTCAAAAACACATACTAATTTTTCACACCAACAGCAGTTTAATGTGAATGTCCAATATTAATTAGTCTTTTTGTCTTTTACACCACCATGATATGCAAAAAATAAGGGAATTGTTGGAGATGGGCTGGTGAAGCTGGTCATGGTGGGGGGGAAGCAAGGGGGTAGCTGTGGCTATGCGTGTGAAGCCCCACTTGTTTTAGCGCCTGCATGCAAAATAAAAGGAGCTACGTTTCAACCACACCGTCATGGCCACTATTTCGACTTTTGTAACAGGTGCCCTGGGAAGATCCTTTATTTTACCTTTTTTGGAAGGCAGAGCAGGGACTTGAGACAGGCTTGATTCCTGGTGAGTACCTAGCTGAGTCCTTGCAGTATACTTGGCAATATTTTCAGAATAGTTTGTCAATTTCTAGGACTGAGAGAGAATAACTGGCTCAAAGTCACCGAGCTGGCTGCTGTGTGACAAAGGCAAGGCTGGAACTCAAATTGTCATGGTTTTTAGATTAGTGCTTTAATCACTACAGCAAATTAGCTCTTTTGCAAGTTACAAATATCCCTTCAAACCTCATCTGCAAATAGTTAAGTGGCCCATTTGATGACTTTGAGGAATCCCAGTTTTAGATATGTTTCAGCTGAATGGTATACAGTGTATGCTTATATGAATACCAGCAGAGGCAGTACAGATAGTATTATCTTTTGTCTGTAAGATAAGATCCTCAGGCTCTTAACACAGCGTTTCTCAATCTCAGCAATTTTAAGATGTGTAGACTGATTCGCAGAATTCTCTAGCCAGCCTGGCTGGGGAATTCTGGCAGTTGAAGAACTCACATCTTAAAAAGTAGTCAAAACTGAGGCAGAACTGGCAAAACTGATCAGTGAAATATTTGACCATGAATACAGAATTGGTGACAGAATGTTAACCAACAAATAAATACAGTTTTATGAGAAAAAAGCTGGAAATTATTTTGTCAAGAGGTGTGAGAAGCTCGTATTACATAGGGGCAACATTCTAGCTATTGCAAAGAAGCATCATAACTGAAGAGGTAGAGCTTGAAAAGAGAATGGAATGGGCATCTTACTAAAAAGTGACCAGAGAGGGGAAGGAAATTGTGGGAGTAGAAGATTAATATTGGCTGAAATTGTCGTTTTCTTATCTGGTCTTTGCAGCTATGCCTTAAACAGCAACCTTATAGGCAAAGATAAGCTGATGACTTTCCTGAATGCAGAACAGAATGAACTGTATCTCCTAGTTATGTGAAGAAAAAGTTTATCCTGGCAAGGGCCTCGTGCTTTTGTTCTTTGTAAAGGAAGAAATGGTTTAAATTAATATTTAAAGATTTATCATGGAGAGTGTATATAGCGAGAAAAAGAAACAAACTGAGATAATCAGTGATGCATAGTAATGGGAAATAGTGTACCTAGATTTAGTAACCATAGAAATAATCCTCAATTTACAACCATTCATGTAGCAACTGTTCAAAATTACAGTGGCACTGACAAAATACTTAT